ACACACACACACACACACACACACACACACACACACACACACAGGGTTCTTACTTACAGACTTTGTTTCTACAGTGATCCGCTCACTCTCCTGTGCTGTCATCAATTTCTCCCTCCAGCCTGGGCTATCTGAATGCTAATGTGCTCTACTAGCTCCCATCTAGCAAAGAAAGACAAACAACTGCTGCCAGCCCACCTTCCTTTGGCCGCCTTGCTCAGAGGGGACACACTGCCACTTCCTCAGCCGTCTCTCCTCCACCCGCTGCAGCCGGGCTGCCTTCTCTCCAAACCATGGCAGATGCTCTTGGCAAGTGACTGCGGCTTCCAGCCTGGGGCTCACCTGCCCGTCCTCCCCTCGCTCTGCCTGCAGCAGCACGCGACACAGCGGGCTGCACCTCCTCGGCTCCTTTGCTGGCCTCTCTGCCTTTGCTCAACCCCCGGGTGTTGGAGGGCTCCTGGGTTTGGTCTCAGGTCTTCACTCATTTATATCTTCACAATTTCCCTAGGGCAGCTCAGCCAGCTCGGGGCTTTCCATTCCATCCATGTGCTGACTACTCTCAAATATTCATCGACACTCTCTAGTCATCCTGTCAAAGCGGATGTCTTAGAGCAATCTCAAAATTAACATATCAAAAATTCTTGACTTCCCTCCAAAGCTGACCCTGTTCCTACCCATCTCATGAACTCACAACTACCCACCTAGTAATTTACACCCTAAACAAAGAGTGGTCCTTGACCGTTCCCTTTCCTTCACACCCCACACCCAGTATCAGCAAAGCCTGGTAGCTCTATCTTCGAAACACATCCATGGTGTGACCCTATCTTACCTCACACACTAGTCTAAGCCACCCTCTTCCCCACCTGGATATAACCATGTAGCTCCCTTGCCAGCCTTCCTATGTCCACTCTTGCCCCAATGGAGAATTCTCCACACAGCAGCCAAGGCAGACTTTCTAAAAACATAAATCACATCAACTGCTTCCCTGGTCAAAACTCTCCAGTAAGCTAAAAAAAAAGTTGATCTCCTGGAGCTAGCGAGCAGAATGACAGTGCTCAGAGACTGGAAAGGGTGGGGGTGGGGGGATGCAGAGAGGTTGGTTCATGGCTACAAACATACAGTTAAATAGAAGGAATAAGTTCCAGTGTTCGATAGCATGGTACAGACATGATAGTTAACAATAATTTATTGTATATTTCAAAATAGCTAGAAGAGAATATTTGAAATGTTCCCAGCACAAAGCAATGATAAATGTTGGAGGTGACGGATATCCTAATTACCCTGATTTAGTCATTACACATTGGATGCTTGTATCAAAATATCATGTGTACCCCATAAATATGTATAATTATTATGTATCAATTTAAAAGATGATTAAAGCAGAAGTATAAAGGAAAAATCTCTCCACTGAAGTCCAAACTTCATTCCATGCTCCAAAATGTCCCGCATGACCCGGCCCCTGTCAACCTCCTCACTCTCTGCTCCGGCCATAGCTCTGGTTTCCTCTGTCCCTCGGACACATGCCCTGCTCATGCCCAGCCTGCACACTGGACAGCTCCTCTCCTGGCACAGGCTCCCCAGGCTTCTCCCTGAGTCTCTCCCTCGCTCACTCAGGTCTCTGCTCAGTGTCGCCTCCTAGAAAGGTCTTTCCCACCCCACCCCATCTAACCAAGCCCTCTTCATCCTCTGCCCACCCCTGGCCTCAATATCTTCTTCCCTGATTATTCACCTCTTTGCCTTATCCCTGAAAGAGCTTCCTTGTTTAATTTTGTCCTCCCCACGAGCCAGTGAGCTGCGCGGGGCAGAGAGAGGACGTACCTGTGGGTGGAGGGCAGTGGACGGGGAGCAGTAGGCGAGGGCAGGTCACGAGAGACCCTATGTGAGAGACGAACAAGCCTTTACAGAAAATGAACATTAAATCAGCAAATTTAACCAACATACCCTTGTCCTGATTGCAGAGGCTGTTTGTGACGACAGGAGGGTCGGGAAGCTGGGGCAGGGAGGGGCCGGGGGCCGAGCTCCAGGACAGCAGGCTGCCCCTCGTGCTGCCGGTGTTGCTCCCAAGCCTCATGAGCCAGTGGTCAGACAAGGAGGAGCTGGTGGAGCCTGCAGGGGAAGCACAGGGAGGGAGGCTGCACCCAGCTCGGCAAGGCCAGATCCCCGCCCGCCCCATCGGTCAGCCCTGGACCTGCACAACGGCAGAAACCAAAGGCAATGACCAGAGGAGATTTGTTACCACATGACCAATTGTAACGTTCAGGGAGAGGCATTTGGGCTCAGAATGGAAAGTATGCTCCTGAGTGTTGAAATCCTTTCCGTGACATTACTTGTCACCAACTCTGGCTTCCTAAATATGTTGTGTGTGTGTTTGTTTTCCCAAAGCCAAAGAATTTCACTACTCACAGCAATAGCCAAAGCCAGGGAAACAGCACTGTATCCCCAGCACCACGGTCCAGTTCCCGCAGGAGAACATGCGAGAAGGTATGTCACAGAAGTGCACCCCAAGTTTAGGGAACCGACTCTTTTACAATGGGCATTAAGGATGCCTACCCTTTGCTCAGGAGGGAGACATTATCTTTATAGGCTTGATTTAGACCTGCAGACCATTCTTCTACAACTGTTAGGAAGAAATCCGATTAATTTTTTTTTAATGCTCTCTCATCCCAAAGATAAGGACGGCTGGTTTATCAAGTAAAACAAGTCATACAAAAGAGTCAACTTTGGTGCTCTTTTTTTCCCCTCTAGATTTCCAAGCAAGTTTGAGGAGGTCTAGTAAATGAATTGTTAGTGTGTAGTTAAGTACCTACATTTCCTAGAAAGGCCCTGCATCCCTTATAACTGCTCCTCCCTTTCTAACAGGAAAAACACGGGTTTAAAATTCAGTCTGAATTAGCTGGGCGTGGTGGTGCACAGCTACAGTCCCAGCTACTCGGGAGGCTGAGGCAGGAGGATCTCTTGAGCCCAGGAGTTGGAGGTTGCTGTGAGCTAGGTTAATGCCACGGCAATCTAGCACCAACAACAGAGCAAGACTATCTCCAAAAATGTAAAAAAATAAAAAATAAAAGAAATCGAATCTGGCTTGACATGAGTGAGACGGGATTCACACATTGCCAAATGTCAGCAGCCCAGGATACAACAATGCATTCTTTCCCCCTTTCTTGAATTACAGTATATCCACCCACACCCTGACAAATGTCCTGCTAGCCTGTGGTGCTCAGATTTCTCTAGCAGCAGCCAGGGCTTCCTCTTCAGATCCCTGCCTACCTCTCCTGGTCCTTGATGTTCAATTGAGCATCTTCCCAATTCTTAAAGTGACTTCCCAAATCCCCTCTCCTGTAACGAGCAGCCACACCTACCTCTCATGGAGCTGCTGGCTGACCAGGGAGGGATGCTGTTTCGCTTCTGATAAAACAGGATGTAAGCCCCTCTGGTACTGACCTCGTCTTCTCGAAGCGGTTCTACCGTGCTGTCATCGTAACTGTACCACTGGCCATCCAGAGAGTTCCGGCAGTAGGCTGCAAAGATCCAAGCCCCAAGTCTCAATTAGTGGAGCCCCAAAAGGCAGGAAGGCACTTCCCACTGGCAGAGCTGAAAAATGAATGTGCTTATCACAGAATGAGAAGAAAAAAAAAATAGTCCGTTTTTGGCCAGAAATGAAATTTTTGGAATCAGAAAAGATCAAAAAGTTATACTCCCAGATTCTTACTGATAAAGAGTGTTGTTAATATTTTAAGTTGAATTCTTATGTTGTGGCCCTTGCTCAGGCAAAATCTCCAATAAAAGGGAGCCCTCAAGTCATCTAGCCAGACAATAATGTCAACATTCACCCCATTTCTTCTGAGAAGCTTCAAAATGCACCTGTCCGATTAAGTATGCAATAAAAGTGAAAATGAGAATCACAGCTGGGATTATGGCATACTTCTTTCCTACCTAAGAACTGAAGTCAAACATTTAAGGAAAGTTCATAAATACAATTCTTACCACCTCCCAAACAACTAAAACAAAACATCCTTCTCCTTGCCATCCAGGCTCTCATTGCTTCAACACACCAAATTCTTTCTGCCTCAGGGCCTTTGCACATGCTAGCACTATGCCCACAATATAATTCCTCCCATTATTCACATGGCTGGTTCTACCTCTTCCTCAGCTCTTAGCCTACACGGGACGCGCTTAGAGAGGCCTTATCTTTATCACAGACATATTCAATCAGTCAATCAATCATCCTTTCAGGTAGTCTGTCAGGTAGTGAAGGTGCTAAAATGACAGGCATCTTTTTACTATCTGTCTCCAAAATTAGACTGAAGCCCCATGAGGGCAGGCCTCATATTTGTCTGGTTCACCACTGAAGCTCCAGCCATAGCGCAGAGCCTGGCGCAGAATGGACACTTAATAAACATTTTTTCAATGAATGAATGAGTGATGATCCTGGATTTCTATATAGTTCAGTGTTTTCCGAATTGCAAGCCATAAGCCCATCAGTACACTGGTAGTTAGTGTACCCTTTAAAAAATAAAATATTTTAAAACATTTTTTAAAAATTAAATATCATTGTAGAATAGAATAGACCAAAGTATACCATATGTGGAAATCGTAATTATCTCATGACACTTTTGGTTAGCCTGTGTATACGTATGTACACACGACCACACACATGCCCGTGTGCGCACACACACATGAACGGATGTGCATACTGGGTCACAATTCAACCCAGTATGTCAAGACAGGTGCCATTTAGTCAAGTGCCTCACCATATTATTTTATTTCATTTAACATCTTTTAAGTTTATTTTGATAGATAAGATGGCAAAAAAACCACTAAAAGCAAAAGATGCATCTATGGTAACGACAGCATTTATGCAAAAGTATACAGTAGCGCAATAGCTACTAATTGTTGAGGCCACAATGTGAGAAGCATCTTATGCGTGTTAGTTCTGATCATGAAAACCCTTGTAAGTCAGGTGTCCTTGTTCCCACGTTGCAGGATGACTGCCCGGTACTGACATGGACGAGGAAGTCCTGGTGGGAACTGCTGGACGTCAAAGAGCTGCTAGGATTACATGACATGAAGTTGTATTTCTTATGTCCTAGAGTTTGAAATCTGAGATTCTCACCTACTACACTCCTACCTGCCATGGGCCCTTCGCCCTGGCCTGCACTGGGTAAATGCTGACAAGGTCTGGATCTGTTTAGGAACGCAGTCCAGCTCCCTTTGTGAATACGTACTCCTCCGACACAGGCTCAAGATTTCCTGAGACCTCGTCACTAGCTAAGGACAAACCCAGAGTTCCCGACTCCTGGTCAGTGGAGGAAAAGGGGGGAATGGAATCAGCTGGGGTCCTATTTAATCCAAAGGTATTTTCACTCACAAATAGGCCAATGGGCCAGAATACCAAAGTCTAGAAAGAGACCCATAACAGAAAAATTTAATATCCGATGTAGTAGATGGCATCTCTGAAGGAATAAGGTAGACTCTTCAATGGTGGTCTTAGGACAAACTAGCGCCCTCGGGGGGGGAAAATGGAACCCCTTCTCTCCAGAATATCAAGAAACTCCAAGTCAAAGATTTAAGTGTAAAAAACTAAAACCTGGCCAGGCATGGTAGCTCATGCCTATAATCCCAGCACTTTGGGAGGCGAAGGCAGAAGGATCACTTGAGGCCAGAAGTTTGAGACCAGCCTGGGCAACACAGCAAGACCCCATTTCTAAAAAAAAAAATTTTTTTTTTAATTAGCCTGGCATGGTGGCATGTCCCTGTAGTCCCAAGCTACTCAGAAGGCTGAGACAGGAGGACCACTTGAGCCCAGGAGTTCGAGCTTGCAGTGAGCTATGTTCACACCACTGCACTCTAGCCTGGGTGACAAAGCGAGACCCTATGTCTAAAAAAAAAAAATTAAAACCACAAACATACTAGTAGAAAATGCAGGAAAAACATTTTTTAATCTTAGAGTGAAAAAGGCTTTCTAATCGTGACTCAAAATCCAGAAGGCTTGAAAGAAATTATTGCAAATCTGACTACCTAGAAAAGCAATAATAAAAACTTTCTACACAGCAAAAAATTACCATAGGAATAGTCAACTGACAGATGTATAAGGGAACAAATATTTGCAATTTATATTACAGACAAAAAGCAAATTTCATTATATATATGGAAATTAGAGCATCTAGAAATTGATGGGGAAAAGATTAACAATCCATTTGGAAACAATAAAATGATGCGGACAGTTCACAGGAAAGGAACCACAATGGCACAAACGTATGAAAAAGATGCTCATGCTCACACCATTAAGAAGCTGAATATCAAATTTACACTGAGATACTATTTTCTACCTATTAGATTGGCAAAACTCCAGAAGTTTAATGGCATACTCTACTCGAGAGGCTATAAGGAAACAGGTATTCTCTTCTTCTTGTAGGAGTGCAAATTCCTACAATCCTTTGCGCAAGCCAATTTGTTCATATTTGGCAATTCTGAGAATTTATTCTACCAATAAACTCACACAGACAGAAAATGACAAACGGTTATGACAGCAATATTTGTAAGAGCAAAAGAATGCCTGAGCCCCAAGGTCCATCTACAGGACACTTAATATTGTTACATTTATTCGGTGCATTTACGGAAGAGGATGGAGAAGCTTTCTATAAATGGAGATATGGAAAGATTTCCCACAAATTTCAAGCAGGAAAAGCCAGGTGTAACACAGCAAACAGTATTCTTACTTAAATTAGGAGGTGGGGAGGAAATACATGAAACGTACGTGTGTGTAGATATTAATATATATATGTGTATGTATATATGAAAATATACTCACAATTGCTTATATTTACATAAAATATGGGAGACTACACCAGGAACTATGAAAAGTGGTTGCCCTTGAATGGGGAGGGGGCAGATGAAGGACGAAGATGAGATCAAGATTTCACTGTCCATCATTTTCAGGCTGTGTGAGTTTTGAAATATAGGAACGCATAACCTACTCGACATATTTCATTTGAGATTTCTAAAAACATGAAATGTAATGAAATGACCATACTTCCAGAAAGTAAAAGAATGAAAAAGGAATAAACTCACAGTGTCAAAAGACAAGAGGAGAAAAAGCAACAGCTCAGCTTTGAGAGCTGGGCCAGAGGCTGGAGAGGGGGGACCCCGCAGCTGAGCTGAGGGAGGGAGGAAAGGGGCCGTTCACCCCGCTGCACCCCCGGGGCTCAGTACCGGACATACCAGATACCACAAAAGGCCAGGCCAGGTGAGGGCCACCAACGAAACCAGGATGCTCTGAAAAAGAGACCCAGGACAAGAGGGAGTACTTACAAGTTAAAATTATAATAGCAGAAATGAAAACAGTCAGTAACACAGCTAGGAGACGAAGCTAAGGAAATCTCCTACAGTAAACCAAAAAAAAGACAAGGAAATGAAAAATGAGAGAAAAGCTAAATTAGACAGTCGTGGTGAATGTTTTGATTTCCTAGTGCTGCTATAACTCATTACCCCACACTCAGTGGCTTAGACAACACAAATTTATTATTTTAGAGTCCTGGAAGTCAAAAATCTGATTGGCTGAAAATCAGGGTGTTGGCAGAGCTGCGTTCCTCCTGGAGGCGCTGGGGGAGAGCCTGTCCCCTTGCCTCTCCCGCTCCTCGGGGCTACCCTCAGTCCCTGGCTCCTGGCCCCCTGCCATCTTCAAAGCCAGCAGTGGCCAGCAGAGGTTGGGTCCTTTTCACCCAACATCACTCCAACTCTGGCTCTTCTTTCTCCCTCTTCCGCATTTAAAGGACCCGCATTCTATTAATACTTGGCCCCCACCTGGGCAGTCTAGGATCATCTCTTAAAGTCAGCAGATTAACCACCAGGACATCCCCCCACCACGTAACATAACATCATCACAGGTCCTGAGGATTAGAACCTGGACACATTTGAGAGATCATTATTCCGCCAACCACAGAGGGGGAAAGTTCACACACGCACGAAGTAATACAATGTACAACGTTGTTCATGGCAGCATTATAATGAAAGTCTGGAGACAACCTGAATGTTCATGAATAGGAGACTGGTGAAATAAACTGTGAAATGTGCATACAATGAAATGCTAAGCAATTGTTTAAAAAAAAGAATGCCGTGGTTCTCCATGTACCAATATAGAAAGATCTCTAAGATTTATTACTAAGTGAAGAAAGTCGGGTATAAAATTATATACCTAGTATTTACCTTTGTGTTTTAATGGGAGTGAGGGGCACAAACTCTAGGAATATCTCTGTGTATATCTGCATGTATCACAGAAATTCTGCAAGGACACACAGAAAATTAACAAGTGGTGTGGAGTGAATGAACAGGAGATGAGGGTAAGAAGAAGAATGTTCACTGTGTCCTTTTTTACCCCCCATTTGATTTGGAACCATAGGAATATATAATCCAAAAAATTAAATGGAAAACTAAGCACAAGGAAATTTCCCAAACCAGAAGATCACACATCTGCAGACACACAGAGTCTCGAGTGCCCAGCACAACAAATGAACAAGACCCACAGGAAGGCACAACCCGTGACGTTCCAAAGCACCGATGATAAACAATCCAAACGCTTCCAGAAAGAAAACCAGATCCCAGACAAAGGAACAGAATCAAATTGGCCTGACCCATCTCGATAGCAGGACCGCATTCCAGACCCCTTTCCCCATGGAGTAACATTGTCCAAAGTCTGTGAATTTTTGATCTAGAATTCTATGTCCATTCAGGTGTGGGAATAAAGGCATTTTCTAACACGCAAGAACTCAAAATGTCAAGCTCCCATCACCCTTTCTTACAAAGCTTCTGGAGGGTGTACTGCACTTAAATGAGGGAGTTGACGCTCATCTGCAACACCCTGTGAGGCTTGGGGACTTGTTCATATTAGTAGTCACTCGTCTCTGCAGTGCGGGATCTGTGGGTTCTGGAGCCGGAGCGGCCCGGGTTCGAACCCCTGGCTCTGCCATCTAACATGCAACACAGGGCTGTCGTGAGGAAGAAGACAGTGCAGACTGGCACAGGTGAGAGCAACTGGCCCAGATCTTACCTGGGGCTGCCCTGGCTGCAGACACCGCCCTGCTCCCACGCTCCAGAGGCCCCTCTTCCTCCTGGGCTGCTCTCCCTTGGTTTTGGCAGTAAGGAGGCTGCTTCCTGGCAGGTGGTAACACGTTGGTTGAACAAACACAGATCCCAGGAAAACCGCGAGGAGAACCTCCCAGAAACTGGGCCCCTTGTGCCACTAAACCACCTCCCCGCAAATGGGGATATTACTCTTTAATCCTCACTCCCAGGAAGAATCTGGATTTTGCTTTTGATAAGTCAGGGTTCAGAGTGCACGCACCAACACTTCTCGTTCCTGTGGTACTTCCAGCTGCCGTGTGACTGTGCACTGGGGCACCCCATGGGTTTAGAGATGAGGAGCCGGGACATTCGGCATGTGCGTGACAAGACCCAGGCTCTAGCTGTCCTTCTCATCATTAATGTGTGCACGGGGACTCACTCAGCTATAATGCTCTCAGTAAAAAACTTCTGAGGTTGACACAGCAAGAGAGATGGCTCCCAAGACAGAAGGGATTTCTGCTGAGCTGATTTTAGCCTAGAGAAGAGAGACGGGGGAAGAGGCTGCCCAGAACAGTCCGAGAGGCTATGAAGGTGGCAACCCCTCTCACCTGGAACAGGACAGTATGGAAGAACAGGGTGGCACCCACAGCAGAAGAGGCAGTTGCCTATGAGCTGAGAACAGCTTTCATGTCCCCTGTAACCTTAGGTGTGACCAGCCCAGGCTGGCCCAGCGTAAGCCCATTGTCCAAGAACTCTCTGTCCATCCAAGTGGTCCCCAGCCTCATTTCTCTCTTCTCTCCCTGGGTGTCTGTACCATCCTCCAATGGCAGGGACTCTGCCCTAAACCTCTCAGAACCGTAAGCATCACACAGACCAGCGCCCACTACTGTCTACGCAGCAGAGACACTCCATCGAGGCTGCCACCGACAGCGCTCCGACAGGCGTCCCGCCGTCATCAAGATGCCCTGGTGGGAGAGAAGGAACAACATAACTGAGAAAAAGGACCGGTCATGACGTTCTCTAAAGGCGCTTACAGGGATGGTTATGAACAACTATTTGTTTCTGCTCTTCCATTCATCTACTGCTCTCAAGTTCCCCAGAGGAATAAAACTGAAAAGTAGCCCATAGAATAAAAAGATACCAAATTTGATAAGATTCCTCATGTTGAATCACAGAGGAGGATAAATGTCACTCTCTCGGCTCCAATAATTACCCTCCTATATTTGACATGGTCGAAACTCAGGCAGTAACAAACTGTATATTCCAACCTCCAACCTAACTCGACATCGGCTCCGTGGCTGGGACCAGGTCCCCCGCCCTGGTGCACGTGTCCTGGCGTGCGGTGAGTGTGCAGTCAGACCACTGAGTGCCCGAGGGAGCTCAGCACTCAGCCAGCGCCGGTTTCAGGGGCATCCTGAGGCTCAGGCCACAGCTGCGACACGTGGCCGCGTGTGCTGCGTGCAGAGAGGCCGGGCGAGGCTCACCTGTGTAATGCCCACCTTGCAGACTGCCGTGGTGGTTGCAGACGGCGTACAGGTCGTACAGGAAGTCCAGCGGGTAGGCAGTGGGCAGGCAGCCCGGCTCCTTCCAGGGAGGCCAGGGGCCCGGCCCCGGCTTGGGGCTGGTGCTTCTCTGGGCCACGTGGGGAGCCATGTTGAGTCCAGAGAGGGGAAACTTCACCAGCGTGGAGAGCTTGTTTCTTCTCTCCCCCACCTGACAGAACCTTTTGAGGTGGATGATGAGGATGTCAGGCAGGGTCCACAAACTCAGCTTCACCATCCCCTGCTGGAGGACTTTGCAATGGGGACACTTCCAGGCATCGTCCTGGGCCAGCTGGAAAGAAAGCCACCCAAACTGTGAAGTCCCCGTGGCACACGACCAACCCACCGAAAGGCAGCCAGCCCCCTTCCCGGCCGGAGAGTGGACCCCCAGGGCGGGACCTGCTCCTCCTTGGTGTAGAACTGAATGCACTCGTCCAGGGTGCAGCTGTGCTGCTGGTGTGCCTGCTGCTGCTGCCACACGCTGTCAGCGTCCCGGGCCCGCTCCTCCTGCAGGCTCCCGAACAGGCTGCACGGAGAGATCACTCACAGCATTCAGGGCGCCCCCCAGGAGGGCTTTCTTCTAAGTCTCTACTCAGCAGACCCCACCAGGCACTGGCCAGGTGAGCTACTGCGCCCTTGCTGAGGGCTCCTGGGGAACCTCACACGTACTCCTGACTCAGCACTCACTCTATTTTCCTGGAATTATCTCTACCCCCACCAGCACCTGCAGGGACCAAGTCTTTGACTTATTTGTCTTTGTTTTCCACATTCTAGCACAGGGCCTGGCGACTAGTAGGAGATCCATACGTACTTACTGGACCGAACAGTGTCCTTTTTCAAAGTAAGGCTGGTGCACTTGGTGTTATACAGGCAGCCAGGTGCAGGGATTAAGAGAATGGACACGAGCCAGACGGCCTGAGTTCAAATCCCAGCTCTGCCAGGGATGAGCTGTGTGTCCTTAAGCAACCGCTTAACCTCCCTGTGCCTCAGTCCCATCATGCCTCTGAGAAACGCGGATCACAGTACTGTCCACACTTGGGTGTGACGAAGACTAAATAAATTGCATATGTGTAGCGTGCACAGGGCAGGGACTGGCAGGGGGTGGGTGCAAGGGAGTGGGTAAGTGCTGCATAACCGTTTGCTACTGCCACTGTTAGCACTCCATACAGCCACCAAGACCGTCTGCCACTACCACTACTGTCATTGTTATTCACCTACAGAGAATTCTCACTAAGGTGTCCCAGAGGAAAGGGTTCTGCCTCAGGGACGTGTGCACATGCCTTACAAGCACTGGGGGCAACTGGGTCTGGGCAGGCCCCATCTCAACTCTGCAGGAGGCAAATTCTGCCGAACTCACCGCTCCTTGGCAGAGCTGTCCCACTCCACCGCCAGCTTGACGTGGGGGGGGCCTCCCGGCCTCCTGAGGTGCAGAGCTCTGAGGAGAGAACAAGGGAGCCCATCAGAAGACACGCAGCTAGCTGCCTTCCCACAGCTCTGCAGGGCTCAGCAGTCTGCCTCTAACGCTGGGACTGATGTTTCAAACAGAAATATCCAAAACTGCCTGTAAACCAAAGTCAGCTGTCTGGGGGGTTGCTAAGTCTGCTGAAGGCTTAGTCCTACACCTACAGCCTAATGCCCTCCCCTAATCCCATGGGAGCTTGAGAGCTCCGAGGACTTTGGGTTACTAAAGGACACAGATCAACTGTCTCACTGCAACCCCTGCTACCTTCTCGATGTCTCAAGGGCAGTTCCACTTGGCCATCCTACACAAACACCCAACACTGGCGAAGCCCAAAGAAAGCTGTTAACTTCCCCCACCATGATGCAGAAGGAGCACCCTCAAGTCCACGTCCACCACCTAAGAAGTCTTCCAAACCCTCCAATGCATAGAAAATCTCAGTGTAAGCAACCTGCAGCCCTTTCCAACCGCCTGGGTTTCATGCAGGAGAGGTGGGACAAGAGCAAAGTGGACGACTTAGCCTGAAATCAACAACATGGATACAAGCCATGGGTGGCAAAGTCTGCACCCAAAAGAGTGTTTAGAATTTGTTGTAAGAAGAAAAGGGGGATATCACATGAGTCCCAAACTGTCACCAAGATGACTGGATAAAAGGCTTTGAGCTCATGGAAGGCACAAAGTCCTGTGGTTGAGCACTGACCAGTCCTGGCTGGAGTTGTGGCAGAGCCAAGAGGGACTAAGGAATAAGGTGTGTCTGGGACCAACAGCTCAGCGAGCCCTGTTGGGTTGGGACAAACACTGATCATCCCTCCTCATCCTTCTGTAGACCGGGAGACCCAAGCTGTGAGCCTCCTTCTGCCCCTAAGCACCTTATCTGGTTGGCGGGTTTAGGAGATAATTGGCTACACCCTCCCCCGCCCCCAAGGCCCATTCTCCTTCCTATGCCCTGCAGGGAGCAGCCTGGCATTCTCCCGCACCCACGCCTGGGCGTCCTGGAAGCAGCTCTGCCCTGCCGGTGAATGACTGGAGGTTTGGGGCAAATATTCCATTCGGAGGAGACACAGTAGGGAGGCGTAGCACCAAGCCTCTTTCCCCCAAATTCTCATTCCCACCATGAGGGAGGCCTGCAAATGGGGAGCTCTGCTTCAACAAGGGGCGTAGGGGAAGAATGTAATTTAATTCCGGAGGAACGTACGTGAAAGTCCACGTAGGACTCAGATCTGAGCCACATCCTTTCCTTAATCAGTTTTACTAATAAACCTCAAACTTTTTTATCTCTTTCTGCCTCCATCCACAGTCTACTTTGCAAATGGAATCTAAACATGGAATGGAAAAGGAGAACTGGATCTTTTGTACGAGATTTGGATCTTCATTCTCCAACTCTGTTGTACAACAGGCCACAAAAAGGGCAGAGCTGTGGCTGCAGTCTGAAGTTCCCTCTTTACACGGAAACCATTGTTCCCTAGACAGTGCAACCATCACCCGTCCGCTGAATGACAGCTCTGATCCGACCAGGAGAGGCCGTTATTCGATATTTACACAGGGCTGCTGCTCCAAGCGATACACATACTTAACAATCTCTACCCTTAAGGCGCTCAGAGGCCAATGGGAGAAGCACACAAAGAGATCATTATAATGCACCGTGAATGGGAAGGTGTTATCCCTTAGCCACAGTCCACGATCTCTGACAGCGGGGGGCCGATGATTCAGTGGTACAATTCTCACCTACCCTAGGGAGGCATTCCAGTTCAAGTCAGTAGCATGACCTAATTGAATGCATTTGGTTTTTTAGTTAGACCAGTCTGGGTTCAAATTTGGGCTTGACCATTAACTAGCTGTGTAAGTGTGAGCCAGTTAACCAGTCTCTGAAAACCTCAGTGTCCCCTTGTCTTTGAAGTGGTCATAATAGTACCTCACCAAGGGTTCAAAGAACGGAATGTGCCCAAAGACCTAACACAATGGCTGGTGCTGGAGGTCACTGATCAAGAATAGCTAATCTTGTGAGCAATTTTCTTGACACACAGTCTCAAAGGAGGCTAGTCACATAAGAAAGCACTCATTCCATTACGGGACTTCGCCTTACCTGTCCACTGCCCAGTGGCAGAGGGGCCGACTGTCCTGTGGCGATAAGTAGCTGCAGGCCAGGGAGAGCCCCACAACCCGGATGGAGAACAGAGACCCCAGGCTCTGCCAAGACAAGAGCAGAGACGGATCACCACGGCGCCCCTCTGTCAATTGGGGTTAGACTCTAAGTGC